GGAAGGCATTGTCAAAGGACGTGTCGAAAGGGAGAGGCTGAATGGAGTCCGTGTACGTGATGGGAAAGGAGTGACGAGGCAAGGCCAACAAGCCAACAAGCGCAGTTGCTAAGCCCAAGCGGTGGCTGTTGGTCGAGACAAGGGCACGCCAGCGGCTCCTGGGGGGCAAACTCAAACGGAGAGATCTTGGGGAGTTAGTGGACTCGGCCCAACCAAAGGTGGCCGCGACGGAGATATCTCTCAGGCACTCTACCCAGTGCACCCAGTGGTTATTTTCCGAGTATAACGAGTAACCTGTCCGTTACAGCCACGGGCCCCACTAAAGCGGACCTCGGGCTACTCACGGGCGCTCCTTGTTGCGCCTGTACCCTAGGACCTACACTAGTTAAAGGATCCAGACGCTAAGCCCGTACCTGCAGCGCCAAATACCACCAAGACTCGTACTTGTACCGCACTTCAAAGCCTGGGGGCTGGCTCAGCCTCCTCTTGTTAGGCCATTGATTTCGCCTTTTACCGTTACTGGGTTCTGATCTCCTCGCTTCTATTGCACCCAATTTCACACCCCAATCTCGTTACCACGCCGTGGCTCGCCTTTGGCTGCAGCGTGGCTTTTCATTACCTGATCCTCTGCGACTAACGAGGATCTGCAGTCTTCGCATGAGTACATACTCGTCCTTGTGTTGTGGCTCATTGAGAGCATGTCCAGCGAGCGTGACGGTCGGGGATTCTGACCGCCTTGTCTGTGGCCGAAACATGCATCGAAACAGTCTGTGCTTCCGCTGTGCTGCCGGCATGCTCGCCGCTCTGAGACCATCGGGCTCGAAAATTCTGACGAGAGCCACAGGGCAGGGTTGAAGTTGCTTCAAGGTGAGTCCTTGTCGACCGGGACGCTGAGCTGCCAGTAAGAGACCAGGCACGTAACACTATGCCCAAGCAAGCAATTTTAGCACCAGGAACCAGGAGCTTACTGGAGCCCAATCGCGTGTCAGCCAGACGCCGGTCGAAAACAATGGGGCTTTTGAGGGTGAGAGGGATTGGTTCAAATTCTCCTCCACCATCTTCTCCATCTGGCGCCCCGTTGGTAATTGTGATTACTGGTCATAGTCGAGGAGAAGAAAGGGATGGGTTTGCTTTTGAAAACATACCACCACCGTCATCGGCTGGTTCGGACACAACATATGCGGTATGCATTGACGAGACGTTGTGCCATGCGAGGAATGTACTCGGTACGAGGCACAACAACAGCATTCCACATGAAAACATGCACACACATGTTGGTCCCGCTGACTGTGTTTCATTACCCAAGGGGGCTGAACCAAGAAGCTGCAGCAAAAGAGCCACCCTGCTCCCTGTCAGTCCTGCTTAAGCTTTTGTGAAATCTCTGCAATGTTTGGGGCGTGCACATTCTTCATCCTTGATCATATCTTCTGATGACCCTGGGGTTTCATGCTCCGTCCCTCGTCCATGGCTCCAGAACCCGTTAGCTGTCAGCGTTTCACGCCCTGGAACATTCTATCGCATTGGTCTAGTGATCGTCGCCCGGACCACATGGCGTGCAGTCTGTTGATCAACATATTCGAACTGGTTGACAAAGGACAGAAGATGATCGAATTATCATGCTGGTTGTGAGGTAGCATGGGATAGCTCTCCCAGTAATAGTACTCGGTGCCTCGGGCAGATTTCTAACGCGACAACTCCTTCGTTTTCGATTACTCTCTAGGTACCGAGTACTCAGTACTTGGCTTTGGATATCGATAGAGTATTGGGTTATAAAGTGCCGATATTATGGCAAACCTCCGACATGAATCAATGACTGACAAGATATTGTACAAGGACTCGTATCTATCGATAGGCTCTTCATCAAGCTTATACGTGGTCTCCTCCCCCACATGAGAGATTTCGGTAGAGTTTGAGATGTATCCGAACTGTTTCTTCTATGTATAGTCTCTACTAAGCACATCTGGAACAGTGGTCAAGCCGGCCACAATCTAGGATATAGTATGCATTCTTTTGAAAATACACCTTTTCAACCCTCATCTTGTGCATCGGGAGATTTCGTGGACAGTTTGCCGTGGCGAGACTGCCTCGGTAAAATATTCAGCCCAGGGATTGTGTGTAGGGTCTTCGCGGGGAAGGATGTAGACAGCGAAATGGTCCGAATTGCAAACGTACGAATTTGATATCACGGGACTGGGAAACATGTCCTTTTGCGCCCGTCTGTGCCAACGAAAGATTTGGGATGTGTTTTGCCGAAGTCGGCACTCAGCTGAGGTGCCTGAGTGTGGCCGAAGGAAGGGGAAGTGAGTCGTGTGGGAAGGAAAACTGCCCCCCCCCCCCAGATTTATCCCGAGCACGTCATTTGCTCTGGGTGGCTCTCCTCGCCTTTTTTGTCCCGGACAACAGCGAAAATTGCTCCACCTTCGGTACATGCAAACCACTCACCACATCGGACGACTTCTTCTGCGCCCTCCTCGTCCATTGTCTCTAGCTATTCAGTGTGACACCTCGAGTCTGTCGCCATTAGCTGTGAGAAGCAAACAAGCAGTTTCGCTCTCATATGTCATTGAATATATTGATCAGTACTCTACAAGTCGTCGAGCTTGTGCCTCCGCCACCCTTCGACCCCCGCCATCATGTCTGAGTCAGGGTCGTCTTCCACACCGCCCTTGAAGAATCCCAAGCTCAGCGCAATGAGCAAAGCTTTCTCCCAGGTAGATCTGGACGGGCATGATCTACCGCCTTCACCTACCCCGTCCAGTCCGAGAAGTGGTCGACAATACGCCATTGCGACACAACTCGTCTATTCAGAGGGGAACGACCAGTACAATGCAAGCAGCGTGCCCATATACCAGGTTAGTGTTGATCAGCGGTGATGAGGAACTTAAGGGCGACGCTCGCTAACAACCATACAGTCTGCCACCTTCAAACAGACCTCGGCCACTGGCGGAGTCTCCGACTATGACTATACTCGCAGCGGCAACCCAACTCGCACCCACCTAGAAAAACACCTTGCAAAGATCATGCGCGCCAAAAGAGCGCTGGTTGTCTCTTCAGGCATGGGTGCACTTGATGTCATTACTCGCCAGTTGAAACCGGGGGATGAGGTTGTGACAGGAGACGATCTATATGGTGGAACAAACAGATTGCTCAAGTATCTGTCCACGCACGGCGGAATCATCGTCCACCATGTCGACACAACCACACCTGAAAAGGTGAAGGAGGTGCTGAACGAGAAAACGGCCATGGTCCTGCTTGAGACACCTACCAACCCTCTGATCAAGATTGTTGATATCCCCACGATCGCCAATTACGCCCACGCTGCCAATCCAGCCAGCCTTGTCATCGTGGACAACACCATGTTGTCACCATTACTCCAGAATCCCTTGGAACTCGGCGCAGATGTGGTCTACGAATCTGGCACGAAGTATCTGTCTGGCCACCACGACTTGATGGCTGGTGTGCTTGCCGTCAACGATGAAGCGCTGGGGGAGAAGCTTTACTTCACCATCAATGCCTCAGGTTGCGGCCTCGCTCCGTTTGACTGCTGGCTCCTCATGCGTGGCATCAAGACATTGAAGGTCCGAATGGACGCACAACAGGCAAATGCCATGATGATCGCCCGGTTCCTGGAATCCGCAGGCTTTAAAGTGCGCTACCCAGGACTGAAGAGCCATCCTCAGTATGATCTCTTCCGCTCTATCGCTCGGGGGCCCGGTGCAGTCTTGTCATTCGAAACTGGAGACATCCAGCTGTCTGAGCGGATTGTCGAGTCTGCAAAACTGTGGGCTATCAGTGTGAGTTTTGGCTGCGTCAATTCGCTCATCAGCATGCCGTGCCGTATGAGCCACGCCAGCATCGATGCTAAGACGCGCAAAGAGCGCGGGGTGCCTGAAGATTTGATCCGATTGTGCGTAGGGATCGAAGACGGAGAGGATCTCTTGGATGATTTACGAAGTGCACTGGTGCAGTCGGGTGCCATGAACGTCACGCTTGATGGGATTTATGCAAAGAATGTAACAACAGGGGTTGAACATCCCGAAGAGGGCGAGCATCTGGCCGCAGAAGCTGCGGCAGACAATGAGCCTTAACGATGGACGCCGTCGATTTCAGATCAAAGAGCCGAGGAATAAACAAAAGAAATGAGAGGGAATTGTCTCTCGCGAGGCAACAAAAGGCGAGCTTGAACTGGCGCTGGTGTTAATGTTTCATGCTACAATTCTGTTATGCTCATCTGGCGGTGCGCCTTTTGGGTTTGGATCCTGCGCAAGACCAGAGACAAACATGTACTCGGTAGACTGGCGGACGAGGTACATAGGCTCCTCTAAAACGAAGCGCGATGATTGAAATGAGGTGATCAACGTACTCGGTATATGTATATGCAACGATCCACCTGGTCATCCGGTAATTGAACAGAGAACAGAACACTACAGAACAGAGCCTTCACCTCCGCCTCACCGCAATTCCTTTCCTTTCGCACGATCGGAGGAAAGGAAGACGAGGTGGTCTAGGTCCGTCTATCTAGAAATGCCTCGCACTCGTGGCGCCTTGATAGATCCACCGCCGCAAGGACCTACCGGTACAAGAATAAGTCCCAAGACCAAGTAAGTACTCGGTACAAATATCCGCCATGGAATCAGACGATGTCACGAGGTATTCGGTACCTACAGTACATACTTGTACAAGTAGGTGCTACGGTACCACAAGTCACATGCACCTAGGAACTCGGGAGAGAGGTTAGTTGGTAGGTAGAGAGACAAAGTGGACTGATAGCGAGAAAACCAGAATCCAACCATATCATCCTCACTCGGACTTATCTTTGGTATCGATACTTTGTACGGGCGATAGGCAAGACGGAAGGCAAGATAGGTGGCCCCGAATTCCCAGATCACGTGAACTAAAACTTAACTTTATATGGTTTACCATCGCAAATGTTACTTAGAATTCTGCCAAATCTCAACACAGATTTTCGAGTCCGTTTTTCCAAAGCCTCGCACAAGAAAGGGGGATTGGCGCAATGGTAGCGCGTGGCTCTCCTACTCATTTCATCTACCCTTCATGGTATATTTGATGAAACACCAATGACCATGGATCAAAAATGAAATAGGAAAAAAGCCAAGGTTGTGGGTTCGAGTCCCATGTTCCTCGTTTTTTTCCGGGTGAGCTCTGAGGATAGCGGATCTTTTTGGAGGGATTTATTTTTCGTGCGAGTAGCTACAAGTACATACAAGGTACATACATAATAGATACAAGAAGAGAGATGGAAAAGGGACGGGCTTGCCTGGGTCAGAACACGTGCCAGGAATATTGGGGAAAGAGTATCCGGATGAACTTCGGGATTCTATTCCGGCGAAAAGACTGCCCTACTGCCCTATCCTACTCGGGTACAGCGTCTGGACATCTCCGTGTTAGTCTTTCGAGTATCTCGTCCTCCAGACTAAAGACAACAGGTCGAAACCTATCAAGCTCAAGCGGCCAATCCAAGTTCATTTCGGGCGCATAGGGTTCCTCTCAGCGTGAGCAACACCTGCTGCATCAGCACAATCTGCAAAAAGTGCCAAAATCATTCGTGCCTGGGTGTTGTGGTGGGTGTCCTAAACACGGCCGTCGACGAGCTGAGGCAAGCCAACAACAGAACGACAATCATTGGCGAGATGCCGTTCTCCCATCATTCCCACTCTGGCCAGTTCTGTGCGGATCACGCTCGAGACTCTCTCGAAGAGGTGATCCAGACGGCCATATCCAAAAATATGTCCATCTTTGCCCTGACCGAGCACATGCCCCGACACGAACAAGACCGCTACCCGGGAGAGACAAACACCCTGGAGATGCACTTCGCCAACGAAGCGGCATACATTGCAGAGGCCCTCCGTTTGCGCCAAAAGTACAAGGATAGGATAGGGCTGCCCTTAGGGTTTGAAGGCGAATGGATCCGACCCGAGTCCGAGGAGTTGATCAAGCAGAGTCTGGACAAGCACCCCTATGACTTCTTCGTCGGATCGGTCCACCATGTCCACATGATCCCAATCGACTACGACGGCTCCATGTATCGCGACGCCCGACTAAAGGCCGGTGGAACAGATGAGAGGCTCTTTGAAGATTACTTTGACGCCCAATTTGACATGTTGCGGGCCCTCAGACCTCCTGTGGTTGGGCACTTTGATCTCATCCGGCTCAAGAGTGACGATCCGAACCAGAGTTTCAAGGACATGATGGGTGTATGGACACGGATATCAAGGAACCTGGACTGCATCGCCGGGTACGGTGGAATCCTCGAGATAAACTCGTCGGCGTTGAGGAAGGGCCTGGACGAGCCGTACCCCAAGGCAGAGATTTGCCAGGCTGCGCTGGAGAGAGGCATCCGTTTTTGCTTATCCGATGACAGTCACGGCGTAGACCAGGTTGCTCATAGCTATGCAGGTGTCCTGGCCTTCTTGGAAAAGGTCGGCATCCGTTCCGTAGCGTTTCTGAGCCACCGGGATCTCGGTACGGGACAAGGCCAGATACACGACCGCGATCGCTTTCAGACCCTGCATACTGAGCAGATGGGGCTGAAAGAGCTTAAGGAACACAAATTCTGGGCGTAAGTGTAAATGATTGGGCTTGTGCCACCTGGCAACATCTGATACAAAATATGTCGTTAAGACCTCCTGTATACGGGTTCTGGAATATCGGACACGATTCCCATTAGTTGTCGGGCGGGCGGAGGTTGGAGTGCTTGTGGCCTCCCGCGGTTCCCGGTCTGGCCAGGAGGTCTATAAACTCTGTTCAAGGAGGGCAAGATTTCCAGCCACCAAAAGGGAACTGTCGACAGCAAGAAGCTGCGGACCAGCTGAGCCAGGATGGACGCATGCTGGTGATTTACAGAAAACCCGCGTACAATGTTTCGGGATGTGGGATCATGGGACATCTGAGACGGCACGAAGACCGGCATTTGAACCCTAGGCTAAAATATTGTCAGAAAAAAATACAGAACTGGGTGTCATGAAGCTTGTGTGCGTCGACGTGTGCATGCTGTCTACCAACAAGCCCGGAGGATGGACGATATCCGAAGTTCAGGAGCAGCGCCTAAGCAGTAAGGGCAATGGCTTGCAAAGTGATTTGTATTTCAAGCGAAGAAATTGACGCCTTGCTGCCCACGGGGATAAGCGGAGACTTGGGGGTGGACCGAACCATGGTCCCCGAGACCTGCACTGTGCGAGTCCGCTTCCCCATGTCAAGGTGTCCCGTTCATGTGCAACGAGTCACTGTGGACGGGTGAATCGCTGTGCCGGCACTCATCTGCGAAGGAAAGACTGGTCACGGCGACCATGTGTAAGCGAATGAAACAATATGGCAGAAAGCCCGACGAGCTGGAACGACCCCAACTAAACCATGATGTCTTGGTGTAGTTTTTGACTTTACCACCACGCATAGCAGGGGGATGTATGTTCCGGTGCGCATATACGAGGTTGAAGGAGTATAGCTCGATTCCGAGAACAGAACAACTTGGGTCGATCTCTCGAAAGTGTAGCATGATCGGTATGTGTCATGTCGAGATTGGATGGCCTGCTCTCAATGGACCAAGATCTCGGTAAGGCTGATACCCCGAGCCCCATGCACAGATGATGGACGAGGTAGTGATCGCCAACTGGCAACACTCGTTTGGTCGGGACGGATGATGACGCGGTTCTCGCAAACCAGGGAGGATTTCTTGGATGATGGTCACTGGTCAGGCAGCAACCTGCGATTGGATAAGTCCTATCAAGCGGTGAGTCGAAGCATTTTTCCAGCAGCAATGGGAAGAGCACGAGCCGTCCTCGAAATGGACATTCACGCCGACAGAAAGTTCGGAGAGAGTGATCAGCAAGCAGCAGATGCTGCAGACAGGCAGTTAGCGGGCCAGAATCTCGCGCTAGGCATGCAGGATGCACCAAGAAGCAAGTGAGAAAGGAGAGACGGCTTCGATGGCGTCTCCGCATGATCAGCATCGCGGCAAAGCACCGATGTATGAGGGATGCGCGTGAAAGGTTACACAAGAGGTCACTCCCTACAATTTCCGAATTAGGGGAACACACTTGTGGGTTGAAAAGGTCCATGATTCGAGGTAAAGAAGGGATGGGATGGGGGTGCAAAGACGAGGATTTGCGTAGCGCCAGTAGTAGCGTCGACGAAGTTAGCGAGTGTACGTGGGACAAGTAGGTACTTGGTACCACAAGGTACAAGATGCGAAGATGCATGGTATGGTACCCAGTGAGTGAGTACTCGTACGAGTGCTAGGGTTAGGTACCTACCTAGGTATGTACTTAGGTCGTGGTAGACAACTCGACAAGTAATCACGTCATGCACCAACAGGCAGCAGCCGGCAGCCCTAGTGAGCCACTGACCCCAGCGGTTGAAGTGATGACGGAAGGTGAACTTGTCCCCCTCCCCCCCCCTCGAGAGAATCTAGGCAATTCAACCCGTACCCTTGGGTACCTTCGGGCCTAGGCACTTGGTCGTAAACTTGTACTATAGGTACAAGTCGATGCCTAGATGGTACTCGTTAAACTGTTGGTTCAACAGTACCTACCTACCTACCTACCTGCCTACCGACCTACGGAGTACTTCAAAGTTTTTATCTTTTTTGCTACCGGGTAAGGAGCTGAAAGGGTTGCCCCGCGGTCGCAAACCACTGTACTGGCACCTGGCATTATAGGTACCCATGACCATGGCTCCCTTCTCTCGCCCAAGTTGGTATTGTTGGGCCCACCTCATCCGTCCCTCGTCCCTTGCCTGCCCCTCCAAAAGACTTTTTGTGATGCGCCTCTTTCGCCTGTTTGCTACTAACAACTACGAACTAAACAGATCCTGGTAGTTGGTAGGTAGGTCCTTGTAAATTTTTTTTTTTTTTGCCCTTCTCCCCAAGATCGGTATCTTGTACACTCCCGTTTCCCTTATTCCTCTTTTTCTTTTTTTCCAAATCGCCCAACCCATCCTGCATCTCCGTTGCTGCATGTCTGACTCAGGGTTCTTCTCATCCGATCTCAGCCGAAGACTTTCTTTTGTACCTTCCCCCCCTTTTGAATTTTTTCCAATGCATCAGATCCCCCCTTCTGCCCCCCTCCCTCCTTGACCTCTTTGCCCCCCCCGCCCTGCGGATCCCGCCTCGCATGCACCGACCTTCAGGTGTTCAAATACCCCTGCTTGGTTAGCGCCCCTCCATCCCTTGTCCCCCGACGACTTGTTCAAACTTCGGATCTCTGTGCGAGGTGGTCTTCGCCTTGTGGATGCTATCTCGTCACTCCGTCCCATCCTGCTCAGCCCCCTTCGATGCCCCTCGAATCCGGGTGTGTGTCCATCTGACTGAGCTTGAGTCTATTCGGGAAGTCAATTCCTTGCCGGCGTCTGCCACTCACACGTGCGAACTCAACCAAGAATACAAGGATACCTCTGTCTGTTTTTTTCTCGTCGTTTGCTGTGGCTTCATCATGGACTGCTTCGGCCGCAATTTTATTCGCGCAGAATTTCACCGATAAGTTGGTAGCCCTTGCTGTTTACAAAAGGGAAAAGGGCAATAACCACTCAACACACTCGTCCCCCCTTGATCCTGCCGCTTGTATTACGCTTCACTTCTAACTGGTACCAGCCTCAACCTGTCGCAGTTCCCTGCGCACCCCGTCATCCCGTCACACACCCTGTCAACCAACTCCCCCTCCCAGCTCCCACCGCCCTCGTTCCTAGCGAGCTAGTCAGCCCATCCACTTCCTCTCACTCGCTCCAACTATTGCCTCCCACTGCCCACTGCGCTGGCTACGTCCCTGCCAAGGCCCTTTCAGAGCTGATCAGGCTCGTAATTCAAATTCCTGCTATCAACCAGCGAAGTGACTTCATGCAACTGGCCCACCCCCGTTGCCCCTGCTTCCCCACCAGTTTCCTGATTGTCAACAAGTACCTGACCTAGGTATTCAACCGCTATCCCGTTGCCCGCTGCCCGATATATTCAGCGCCTGGCTCTCTCCTTCACTTTCTCCCAAAACTTTCCGAGCCCCAGTCTCCCGTCTCGCAAATCCCTTCGAGGGTCCCTCATTCCGCCTTCAAACTACCGGTGCTCTCCTGAGAGAACAGCCCTCCCTCAGTTCGACAAACGGTCATGGCGTCAGAATTCAACAAGAAGCTCCTCTCCGAGGGTAACAGGACCGACTTCCCGAAGAAAGGTGACGAGGTCATCATCGAATACACTGGCTGGCTATACGATGCTTCGAAACCCGAGAAAGAATACAAGGGCAACGAGTAATGCCTCCCCACCCACAAATGGCTCCCTGACTCCCTCCCCCCAAGAACTGCTACTGACCTTGTTCAATCAGGTTCGACAGCTCAGTTGGACGAGGGGCTTTCCAGACCCAAATTGGGGTTGGCAGAGTCATTCAAGGTATGTGTTACACAAAGGAAATTAGACTTCCAGCCCGCTCTTTCTAACCCCGGTTCCCACAGGCTGGGATCACGGCGTGCTGCAAATGTCGTTGGGCGAGAAGAGCAGATTGACAATCCCTGGGTAAGTCTGTCCCGAGACCTTTGGTCGTTTGTTTTACTTCACCGCCACTCTTGCTGGAGGAATTTCCCCACGATATCTGGGACGTTTTTGGAGAAGGCTAGCTCTATCACTACCACGTTGGAGTTGGGAGCCTCGGCGACTACGCTTGTGTCATTGTCCAAGCCTTCAGTCGAATTGGAATAGCTGACGTTTTCCATCCAGGTATATGGCGTACGGCGACCGGTGAGTAACAAAGTACCCGACCGAAAACACCTCCCTCCTTTGCTGTTACTGTGGGACCACCTTGGGTGGTATCGAGACATTGGTTGGGCTGAAACTCTGCGACTTGATCGCGATTGTCTTATGTCTGGAACGTGGAAGACCACGACTCTTCAGTCTTCACTCATCAAATGACTCGGACGTTACTTCCCACGCTCGATAAACTCGTCCGAAATGTTACCGTCACCTCACTTTCTGTCGGCTAACTGGTGGTGTGACATGTAGTGGTTTCCCCGGTCTCATCCCGAAAAACGCCACCCTCATTTTGTGAGTCCCGTGCTTGCCTGTGTCTCCAGTAGCAAGTTTGCAGAACTGGTCCATTGAGCCGGTGGTTGATTTTTGTACTATGGCCTGCTGACATGGTGCCCTAGTGATGTCCACCTGCTGGCAATCAATAACAAGAAGGCATGAGTTTCATATTTTTCAAAGACGTTCAGTTTCTAAAGTCGAGGTGAACACATCCTCCGGGCTTTACGGCATCCTTGGGGGGTGGTTGCTTTCCAAATTAATCGCGTTTGGTCAATCAATATGTTCCAAGTGTATCGATTTGTTGTAACCATGGGATGGCACAGGGAATGATGGAATCTCCCTCGAATGGCAGCAGATAGCATGGTTGCTAGACAGTCACTTTCAAGGCAGGATGTTTGATTTCGACACCTTTTACTTCCTTGATGCGCTACTCTCACTGGAGTCCGGAAGCAACTTGCCAGGAAATCCAGCTCTTCAAGCAGAAGAAACCACCAGAAAGCATCAGATATTTCACGTTATCTCCGCCTCCTGATCTGGTTCTATTGGCTCCTACCAAGTATCGATTGCTTACCGTTAGCTCAGCGACCGACAGACTGTTTTACTCTTTATCACTCATCGACTGCCGCTTACCCAAGTCCATTCGTGTATAGTACAATTCATGAATTTAGAATCAGACGGCCTTCCTCTAGTGTCTTGTGCTGGTCCCCTCTCCCACGGAACAAATTCCACATTACGCAAGCATTTCTGTGTGTAGATCCTATGTTTGAGAGGTCTGTTCGGGGTATCTTTGTCCTCGCAATTGAACAATATTGGTGGTCAGTCGAAATCCAAAGAGGAAAAAAATTAGGAAAAAATTGGGAAAAGGAAAGAAAAGGAAAAGATAAGACAAGAAAACAGCAAGGAAGGCCAATGAGTGTCAAGAAAGCCAACGAAAGATATCCAGGCCAAACACCGACCAAGGGACTTTTACGAGTGTCCTTGTACTCTTAGAAGTACCTACTTATGAAGGACCAGAATATGAAGCGGGCTGTGAATTGTTGTGAAGTATTGCGAAGATTGTGTGATGCATTAAGAGAGACTACCCACGCTGCCACGGTTTTTTTCTCTCTTTCTATCACTCTCTCGTTCCATCACCCTGTCGCCTCGCCTCCGCTTTCGTCTCCGCTGCGCCGCGCTGCCGCTTCGTTCTTGTTCTTGTTCTTGTTCTTGTCTTCGCTCTCGTTTTTTTTTTTTTTTTTTTTTTTTTTGAGTTCTATCTATCTGAAACAAGTCCAAGATTTGCGCGACCAGAGTACTGGTACTCCTTGTACAAGTACCTAATACTTGGGACTTGTTCTTGGTGATGACGTTCCCTCCCAGCTGGGAAAATTCCCATTTCGTTTTCCTGCTTGGAAACTCTGAACAGTCAACTTTACCTCGTACAGTAGGCTAGTCAATCAGTCAAGAGCCGCACTGTTGAGGAAACCGTGTTTGAAGCGAGGCGAGGTAACGGTTTTCATGATTGACACGTATGGTTCCCCCCATTCTCCTCTCTAGGCATCTAGAAAAGCTGATCTTTTAATCGGTACATGTATAAGGTTGCAGATGAATTTCGTCTTCTGCAGCAGCACAAAGATCTCTTCCCTCAGACTGTGAATTTGAGGGAAAGGCGGGTTTCTTTCTTCAATCTCATATCTTCACTACCTCCCTCACCTTGCGATCCTCCCCGACCACCAACCGCAGCTGCTTGCCCTGCCAGTGGTCCTTGATGCCTTTGAACACCCCCTGCCTCAACGTGTCCGTGTACAGCTCGTACGCTGGATAGTAGCCGTCTACAAAATGCTTGACCTGTTCGTCCGTCATCCCACTCCCTCTTGTCGCGCGGAGGCCGGCCTCCTGCTCCAAGCGCCACTTGTACACATACTGCGGGTCTAGAGCGTCGATGTGGATGAAGGCGTCCAGCTGCGTGGTTATTTCATCGTATTTATGAAGAGCTTCGTTGATTGTCGTGATGGATTTGAGGGTGTTGTGGCCCAGACGGCCGTGGTACGGGTTGTCGGTCGTGGACTTCTGCAAAGCCGCAACGGCCGCCGCGTGCTTGGACTCCAAGGCTTCTTGGGCCAGGGGCCGGAACCCGACGCACCAGCCCTCGAACAAGACCACGCGCACTGGGTTGGAGGGATCAGTGTTCACCTTCTCCCACTCGCTCTCGGGGACACGATCTCCCTGGCCCGAAAACGCAGCCTTGTTGTAACGCGGGATTTTGGTGGGCTTGTTTTGCTTCAGACTCGCGAACACCGAGAGCGCCAGGGGAATGTCGTGCGTTGACGGCTGCCCTCTGTGTTGCAACAGCGGGTTGTCTGGGTGTGACTGTGCCAGCGCCACTTGGTCTCCGTGCGTCAGGTAGAGGTCGTCGAGGGAGAAGACCACCACGGAAAGATTATGGGGCGGAGACGACAAGGTGCTCTTTAAAATGTCCACCAAGACCGTCTTTCCTGCCCCTTGAACACCATTCAGGCCAATGAAGAAGGGTGGTGGATTCGAGGACGTCGCATATGCCTCTTGGTGCTCGGCAAGTAGGGAAAGGATGAAAGGTACCACGTATTGGGCCTTGTCATCGCGAATTTCGGGCATCTTGTTTTCCCCTATGGTTTAAGAAAAGAAGGGGGGTTTCACCTGAACTTTGGGAAACCCTAGGACTATATGAGGAGGGAGGGAGAATATCAGCTTCTTTCATTCATTGAAATTGTCCGCCAACTGTCCGCCAATTCTCTAGTACTTGGGAGTTGGCTGCGGCTAGAAGATTACCCGCTACAACAACGGAGACGACTCCGATGAGAAATGAGAATCGAACGAGAGTATCCGTGCGGGCAAAAAGCCGTGTGTTTGACCTGGAAGGTCGCTTTCTGTGCGATGCTTCAGCTGGTATCAAATATCAAGGGGACGTGTGGTGTTGAATTATTCTTTTTGGGCTCATGCAAGCTGTCGACCTATTGTTGGACTGAGCCACATTTTGATGGAGCAGCTGGTTAGCATCCGCGACGCCTTGATTTCACATGCCGACAGGAGCTGATGTGGAGGCTAGAAAGTGGGCGGGACTTTCGGGGCATGTTTTCGCTCACCGACGGCGGCTTTTCGCTGCGAGGGAGCGAAGACGAGGGAAGTAAGACCTTGTGTGGGGCTGAGGCGCTGAGTTGGATTTGGTCATGTGATTTGTGCCTCGGTAATTTTGAAGCATGACACCCACCGAGGCCAATCCTAATAGCCACTGCGCATGACAAGGACTCGGTACATGATCATACTTGTACACACTCTCCTAGTGCTGTTGGCATCATCATAATCTTCGGCTATATTCTTTTTATTGCCCTGACTACGGCCGAAGGACTTATATCGGTGCAGTCTCCCTTCTCGTAAAGACGTCTCATCCTCCCTCTTTCCTCCCTCTACTGTGTGACGTCGAAACCAAACTCATCCTCCGTAACCCGCATCTAGAGACAGAGTTGAACAGGTGACGATGGTGCAAGAACTCCGTTTCGACAACCAGACCGTGGTGGTCACTGGTGCTGGTGGTGGTCTTGGGAAAGCATACGCTCTCTTCTTCGCCTCGAGAGGTGCCAATGTCGTGGTCAACGACTTGGGCGGTTCCTTCAAGGGCGAGGGTGGTGGCAGCACAAAGGTCGGTCCTGGAAATTGTCACATGCTCGGCCATCCCATCTTCTAACCTTGCTTTCTCCCAGGCCGCCGACCTCGTTGTCAATGAGATCAAAGCTGCTGGCGGCAATGCAGTTGCCAACTACGACAGTGTTGAGTTTGGTGACAGGATCATCAAGACCGCCATCGATAACTATGGCCGCGTTGACGTCCTCCTTAACAATGCCGGCATCCTCCGCGATATTAGCTTCAAGAACATGAAGGATTCTGATTGGGATTTGATCAACACCGTCCACATCAAAGGTGCTTACAAGTGCGCAAGAGCTGCGTGGCCATATTTCAGGAAACAAAAGTACGGACGTGTCATCAACACAGCTTCCGCCGCTGGTCTGTTCGGCAGCTTCGGCCAGTGCAATTACTCTGCGGCGAAACTGGCTCAGGTCGGGTTTACCGAGACCTTGGCCAAAGAGGGTGCCAAATACAACATTATCTGCAATGTCATTGCCCCTATTGCCGCCAGTCGAATGACGGCGACCGTGATGCCTCCAGAGGTGCTCGCCAGCCTCAAGCCTGAATGGGTGGTGCCTCTCGTAGCTGTCTTGGTCCACCCGTCCAACACGCATACTTCCGGCTCGATCTTCGAAGTTGGTGGAGGTCATATCGCCAAACTGAGGTGGGAACGTGCCAAAGGCCTGTTGCTCAGAGCCGACGACACCTACACTCCCGGCGCCATCCTGAAAAAATGGGACAAGGTCAACGATTTCTCCGAGCCGGAATACCCCAATGGTGTCGCCGACTTCGTGTCCAAAGCGGAACAGTCAATGAAGCTGCCACCCAACGAACAAGGCGAGGACATCCGCTTCGATGGGAAGGTCGTCCTGGTGACTGGCGGTGGTGCTGGGTATGTTCTCCTGCTACACTCATAACTTGACCTTACACTGACATGATCAGTCTTGGCCGGGCCTACTGTCTCGCTTTCGCAAAACGCGGCGCTTCTGTTGTCGTCAATGACCTCGTGAACCCAGACACCGTTGTGCAAGAGATTCAAAAACTCGGCGGAAAGGCGGTTGGCAACAAGGCTTCGGTCGAGGACGGTGATGCCGTGGTCAAGACAGCTATCGACACATTCGGTAGAATAGATATCTTGATCAACAACGCTGGCATTCTCAGGGACAAGGCTTTCGCCAACATGGACGACAAGCAATGGGACGACATCATCAATGTCCATCTCCGTGGCACCTACAAGGTAACAAAGGCAGCATACCCGTACATGCTCAAGCAGAAATATGGGCGAATCGTGAACACAAGCAGCACGAGCGGTATTTATGGTAACTTTGGTCAAGCTAACTATGCTGCCGCGGTAAGTTTCTCGAGTTGCGGAATCGGCTTTTTACTGACCTGAACAGAAACTCGGTATACTGGGATTCTCTCGAGCTCTGGCGTTGGAAGGCCGCAAGAACAACATCTTTGTCAACACCATCGCACCCAATGCTGGGACGCAATTGACCCGAACTGTGTTGCCTGAGGAGTTGATCCAACTCTTCAAGCCCGAATATGTTGCTCCTCTGGTACTTGCACTCTCCTCAGACAAGGTGCCGGAACCACCAACAGGCCTCCTTTTTGAAGTCGGCAGTGGCTGGCAAGGACGAACACGATGGCAAAGAAGCGGCGGCCACGGATTCCCCGTCGATGTTCAGTTGACGCCTGAGCACGTTGTCGCGCAATGGGAGCGGATCATCAACTTTGATGATGGCCGTGCGGATCATCCTGAAACCCCTACGGATGGCTTGAAGTCTATCATGGCCAACATGGAGAACAAGAGCAATAAATCACAGAAGTCCAAGTCTGGGACAGACTACTTGGCAGCAATCGAAAAGGCCAAGAAAGCGCAAGCCAGTGGGACTGAATTTGTCTACGATGACAAGGATGTTATCCTTTACAACCTGTCTCTCAATGCGAAGAGAACCCAGCTGCCCCTCGTCTACGAAAACGACGACAACTTCCAGGTCTTGCCAACATTTGGCGTCATCCCCTATTTCAGTGCCGTTGCTCCCTTCTCGATGGACGAAGTCCTTCCGAACTTCTCACCTATGATGTTGCTGCATGGCGAACAGTACCTCGAGATCCGGAAGTATCCTATCCCCACGGCTGCCAAATTGATCTCGTACCCTCGACTGGTGGAGGTTGTCGATAAGGGTAACGCCGGGATTGTCGTGACTGGCACCGTCACCAAAGATGCAAAGACCGGAGAGGATATCTTCTACAACGAATCCACCGTCTTTGTCCGTGGATCTGGTGGGTTTGGAGGACCCAAGAAGGGTGCCAACCGCGGCAATGCAACCACCATCTACCAACCGCCCAAGCGCGCCCCAGATGCCATTGTCGAGGAGAAGACCTCGGAAGATCAGGCTGCTCTCTACAGACTGAACGGTGATCGGAACCCCCTGCATATTGATCCTGAATTCAGCAAAGTCGGTGGTTTCAAGGATCCTATCCTGCACGGTCTGTGCTTTATGGGATTCAGCGGTAAACACATTGTCCAGACCTACGGTCTCTTCAAGAACATCAAAGTGCGCTTTGCCGGTACCGTTATTCCAGGCCAGACTCTGGTGACCGAGATGTGGAAGGAGGGTAACAAGGTCATCTTCCAGACCCGAGTCAAGGAAACTGGCAAGCTATGCATTGCCGGCGCCGGAGCGGAGCTATTGGGATCTCCCAAGCCCAAGTTGTAGATTATGTAGTGAAAGCATCCTGGGGGAAATCCGGTAGCAGAATCAAACAATATTGGCAACGTGAGTTTAGAAGCTCTCTAAAATAGAGAATGGTAATTCATTATCTATGACTTGAGGACGGTTAAGTGTGAGTTGATTCCCAAAAGTCCAATACTGGGGCCGCGCTGGGTCAACGCAGGGGCCGTGGATGAAGGGTTTATAACCGAGAAAGAGCCCTGACAAAACCTATATTTATATATTATACAAGCAGAAAACTTGATGGTTTATGTGCTCCAAATCAGACACAGATTCTTTCTTCTCTCAGCTATGGCTCAATGGTCTAGTGGTATGATTGTCGCTTCGGGCGGGTTTATTGGCCTCTGGTTGTAAAAGCCATGAAATGTGACAGGCCTCGGGTTCGAATCCCGATTGAGCCCTTTTTGTTCCCCTCCCCAAAGGGGGGATTTTTTGGTGCTGGATTGAAAAGCAACGAAATACCTAACTAGCTTGGATAGGATGGAAATGGTCGGTCGGGAACAAAGTAACGAGCGAGGGAGTTAACTGTTTTTTTTGGTTATTGTCTATGCTATCATCACGGATTTCTCGTGTCTTTCTCAAGTAAGTCGTTAATGGTTTCAACAATGTACCGAGTTCTATCACATCCGGCGGAGTCATGGGAAAGTTGGAAAAAGGGATCATCTCGGGCGAAGTCCTGCGTGGTCGGATGTGTTCGATACGATATACGCTATACTAGCCCCCAACCGTGACTTGTACACTAGGGTTTGGAAGAGATCAACCATCTTATCGAACTTCTACTTGGTACTTGACGAAGCTTCGAGCCGTGTCCGAAACGTAGGCCGATTATTCTCCCTGTGGCGAATTACTTTCGAATAATGAATATAAGGGGGGTGCACATATATACGTTGGTAGATTAGGTACATAGATGAAGGTCAGAAAATTTACGAAGATACGCTATACGCTTGAGTGGAAGCATCACTAATAATATTAATTTTGGCGTTGTTCACAAGCGGAATTAGGTCGCTTTGGGGGCCTCCGGCGCGCCGTCTCCATGTCACCGGTGGCTATCAATTATTTCGCTCAGTGACCAACTTACTCATGCCTATGCAGCAGCACGCAGGCAGCGCACGGCAACACCTCGCAACTCCTCAAAAAGATCCAAAGAGTAATGCTCTATCCTCGCCCGTCCCTCTGTTCATGTCTACTTGAGCACCATGTTCAAATCGACCCGCAGCTATCGGAGTGATGTGGCTTTACTCAGGCGCATCCAAACACTCCGCTAACCCCAAATCCTCGTCATCCCATCACCGCGCGCCCTCACAACACTCCTCCTCTTCCTCGTCGTCGACTCCCACCTCCCGACAGACGTCCCCCAGTTCCGCGCTCACCGAAGTTTTGAGAAAGAATCCCTTTAGAACAGGCTCAAAGGAGTCCCTGCCCGCGGGAGAACCTGAAGATGAAGATCCTTCGGTGCCCTTGAACAAGGACTTGCTCGTGCTCGCCGACTTCTTCCCGGACGTCAAGGTCGAAGTCCTCCGGGAACTCCTTGTCCGCTTCGATGGCGACAGTAGACTCCCAATCGCCACGGAGCAACTCCATAAGTACAAAGCAGAATGGGCCAAGGGCCGATTGAATGTCCCGCCGAGGAGCGTGGAGGAGCCGATCCCAGCGGACGAACTTTTCAGGACAAAGGAGTATAAGGACGCGGTCAGACGGACGGTGGGACGTGAATTCAGTGCACTGGGCAAGAGTGCCATTGACGCCGTCCTCGCCGAAGTCAACTTCTCATATACGAATGCGCGGCCTACCCTTCAAGAACTAACGAGCAGGTCGTGGAAAGCCACCTTTGCAAACCTCCTCAAGAAGAAGCGATCCCAGGCCGAACCCCCGTCGGTCCTCTTGGATAGAACAAAGGCGGATCCTGGAGGGCCACGCTTGATCTCGACAGGGTCTCGCGACCTTGACAAGGAGTTATCAAATCTCTTCTCCGCGTCCGCGCAGTCGTCTCGACGACCGAGAGACCAACAAGCGATCGACCTGGAACTCGCTCAAGCCCTCAATCTGAAGGAGGCCGAGGATGCGGGTGCCCTGTTTGAGTGCCAGGTCTGTTATAACGATGTCACGTTCGAGGACGCCTCATTCTGCACACACTCGAATCATACTATTTGCCTAGACTGCGCCCGTCACACTCTCCACGAGGCCCTCTTCGGGCAAGGGTGGGCAAAATCTGTCGACGTCGAGCGCGGCACATTAAAGTGCCTGGCCGCAGATGATTGTGACGGCCATATCCATCAGGACCTTCTCAAGCGCGCTCTCGACCGCTTCGACAACAAGTCCAGCGCTGAAACCTGGAAAAAGTTTCAGGACCGTCTGGCCGAGCATAACCTCCAACACTCGGCTCTACCACTCGTGCGATGCCCGTACTGCTCTTACGCCGAAGTCGAACAGATCTACGATCCGGACACAGTCACGTCTGCCATCACATGGCGACTTCGCAAACCCACCACAGGCATCCACACCATCATCTGCATCCTCCTTCTCGAACTCCTCCCGGCCACCATCCTCTTTCTATTACCTTTCTTCGTTCTTTTCCCCCGTTACTTTATTACACTTTTTTACACGTCACTGGCCCATTTAGCCGTCAAGACTTGTACCACGCGCTTTCAGTGTCGGAATCCTTCCTGCATGCGCAAGTCCTGCCTCAAATGCCAAAAGGCATGGCACGATCCGCACGTCTGCCACGAACCCTTGATTATTTCACTCCGCACGACCGTTGAGGCAGCACGCACTGCTGCCATCAAGAGGACATGCCCACGGTGTGGGACCTCGTTTGTGAAAACCTCGGGGTGCAACAAACTCACCTGCGTGTGCGGGTATAGCATGTGCTACCTCTGCCGCAAGAACATCGGCAAGGCCGGCTCCAACGTCGAAACCGGTGAAGGCTACCGGCACTTTTGCGAACACTTCCGGCCCATCCCCGGCCAAAAATGTCAAGAGTGCGACCGCTGCGACCTGTACCGGGCCGAGGATGAGGACCTCATGGTCAGGCGGGCCGGCGAGGAGGCCGAGCGCGTCTGGCGAGAGAAGGAGGGCATGGTCGGGGTTAAGGGCCTGGAGGATGCCGTGGGCAATGTCGCCGGCGAAGATACCGTGTGGAAGAGGTTCAAGGACGGGAGATGGACGGTCCAGGGCGTGTTGGACTGGCTTGTCGAGAGGGCCGTCATTGTCGAGGTGGAATGAATATGCATCATCACCACAGGAAAGTCACGGTATACACTCGTCCTTAACATCCATGCATACCTACCTTAGGTCTTGGTTAGGTCTTAGGTCTTAGGTCTCAGATACCCAGAGAATTCATGATAAGAAGTCTTCAGCCTCGGTCATTGTGAGTGAGTGATTTGTGATTGATTTCCCCAGAGAGAAACCAGATGGAGAGGGACAGCGCGAGGAGAGGGGGCTAACGTCACGTCTACGTCCTCGTACGAGGACTCTGGTGTCTAACCCAGGTAACCTAGTAACCTACATAGTCCTATAGGGAGGTACAAGTGCTTTGCATGAACAGATCGCGCGGGCGTGCAAACATGGAGGAGAGACGTTTATTCTTTTCTATCCTTTCCATTTCACTCCATTCCACTACGTCCCGACGATGGTGGTTGTAGCCACGTCTCCACGTAGCCTCATTGAATGGGGGAAAATCACGTCTCGTTTTTTACCAGCTGATTGATTGGGGCAGAGCATTTCGCACACACGCCGCCACTGTCGGTATGCGGTGGAAGTGTTCCCGGCATCAGGTCAGGGCCGCTGGTCTGGGACTGAGATGCCATGATAGACCTCCGTCCGAATCTCAAGAGCGTGAATGTTCCACACAGAACAGAGGACGTGTTGTGCTATGATGTCGAGTTCCTGCTCTCAATGCTCTCAATAATCTCAATACTCTCAAGAGGCTAAAAACACCTGAAAATGAGGGTTCGAAGTGCCGAGAAGGGTCGCGTTCGCGAGCACTGTCCCCCGATCCCTCATCTCCAAGCGCTTCGCTGCACGTTGTCAAGCATTTGCAATCTAAAGAGCAAAGGAGATTTTCAAAGAGCTCTGAAATCCAACTCCAGACTAGTTTGCGACCAGACAAAAATGAATACATTTTGAGTTTCCAGGGTGGAAAAAATGCATTGCGGTCTCTCTCCGACGTCGTGATCATCCGGGATGCAAAAATAGCTCAGTTTGAAAAGGACAATAGTTGGTAGTCGCGGAAATCCATGCACAAACGATGGCTTCGAAAGGGATAGATCCGCCCCTACCATTTGAAAGATATCTTTGTAACAAATCTCGTTTCAGGGCATTGGAGGAACGTCCGTTGGCACTCCATTATCGTCGGCTTCGGAGGGAGGTGTCAGCATCGTTGTGTCGACAGCAGCAGGCACTTCGACCTCATTCACCACGACATCATCCTTCCTCTCTCGTCGATTAACAAAGCCTGGATCTGGGGACTCCCAGGCATAGTCAACCCATTCGGATCCGATAACCCCTCGAATTCCCTTGGCAAGTTCGCGGATGGTTTGTCGACGCGCTAGAGACCATTCGTGGTCAGTGACCGAGTCGCAGGGAGTAATGGTGCCGGGATCCGCATCGAGGTCGTCAGCCAGTCCATCGAGAACGCTTCTCCACACTCGCATCGTCTCGTCGAGCTCCTCCACCCTACTGACACCCATGACACTGACGCCTACTCTCTCCTGAGGCAGGCTAAGAGCATGGCCATAAGACGTGTCTGTTTTTCCAAGTGGGTTACCCGAGGACCCAACTTTGGCGCCTTCCCTGAGCCAGTTCTCAAGAGCGAATCTGACCGCGACAACCTCGAGCTTTTCTCCTTTGGACTCTGCCCATTTTCCGGCATTGATGCAGGCTTGTCGGAGGCCGTCCGGGGCAGGATGCCAATTACCCATAGCGCCCACAGGAGGACCTGTTGATCTTAACAGACCCATTCCTAGAGGGCTGGCATTTGTCACAACATCCACACCAGCGTTCACCAGGCGCTCAAGACCGTCCGAGAGCAGCCGGGTATTCTGAAGGGTGAAGTTTGCGTACGATTGAACAATATCCAGTGGTTCTCCGGTCTCTCGCAAAATCATTTCAGCCAGCTCGCAAAGAACCAGCACAGGATAGCCAGAGATACCAACGTAATGCACGGTGCCTTCTTCGTCCCGTATCCGGCGGAGCTCCCTGATGGCCCCGAGGACTTCCTCTGGTGAGACGAACTCGCAATCATGGCAATAGACCACATCGAGGTAGTCAGTCCTCAGACGACTACAACTTCTTTGGACGCTCTGTCGGACCCATGACGGGGAATAGTCGAAAGCATCGGCGGCAACGCGGCCAACCTTTGTAAGGATAAAGTACCGATCTCGCGGATAGTGTTGTCGGACTAGGTCGCTGTCCAGAGCAGTCCCGAGGATCTCTTCGGCCGGTCCGTAGTAAGGAGAGGTGTCAAAAGCATGGACTCCTTGGGCGAGAGCCCTCTGGACAAGAGAAGTAGGACCCAGGGCGTATGGATCAACATTGTACTGTAAGCCAGATATCAACAGATGTGCCGGGTTGTAAAAGAAGGTGGTTATTTACCTGATAGTTGAAGGTGGCGGTCCCGAAGACGAGAGGAGGGAGTGAGTTGGACAGTGGCGATTGAGATCTGGGCATGGCTTCGTCAGTCCCACGGGCCAAGCACAGAGTATGCGGTCCTGGTTGAAGAAGGGGGATGTTGAATGGAGGCGGATTGGAAGTATGTAGGAGCAAGATGTCAATGCAAATACCTTTCTGGGTGACGGCGGTCGCAATCGGGAATTTTGATGGAGGGTGCAATCAGTGAGAGGAGCCACCAAGGACTACTTTTTGGGTGTTTGGTTCGATTCGGAAACTCTGGGAGCGATGGCGACAACGCAGTGGGGCAGTCCAATGCATGCGAGGGAAAGGTTCCTGCGGCTGATATCGAGCTAGAGAACAAGAAGGGGGTGGATTGCCGGTGGCCTAGATTGTTCTCTCCGGATTCGCAGGCTGTCACTTGGTGAGGGAGGTGGATGGGGAGGATACGAGGACTTGGTAAATGTGTGGAGCGAAAGATGCGGATTCAGCCGAGGGATGTGGTAGTGATGAGGTGGACAAGCAGGATCTTCGTCTAAGCACGCAACGTTGACTCGATACTAGACATGAAACACAAAGATAATGCATGGCTTGAACATGGCGAAGGAGAATCGAGGACGACGCCACTCAGATCCATGACGCTCTCATATTGGTCTGGGCGCAGTCTGTATGCAGGTTGGCAGGTTACACAGACTGCGTACAGATCTCACACCTTATCGCACTTCAACTCCCGTCGATACCCCCTTCTATCCTGGTGATCTTGATGATCCTGGTGTGGCCCTCTCTTCCAACCTTTGCAAGTCTCCAACGCTTATCGGCCTGGTTGATCCGTGGTCTCTTCTTTCTTAGTTGGTCCCATACAAGTATGTAACGGCCACTCGCTAGTACCGGGGCGGAATGCCAACTGAATGTGCACAAATGCTATCATTTTTGGACCTGCTCCAGCGTCCGAGGGCCACCAAGTTTCTCCAACTCTCCCCTGGATTCCTGTCCTCTGTCGTTTTTATATGTCTGCGTCAACTTCAACTAGGCCCGTTCATTAGCTGCTTCGATTCCTTCTTGAGTGGAGATACGCTCGTCAGGTTGGAGCGGCGTCCGTTCTCAATCCCAAGGCTGCGATTGCGACAGCATTGACATTAGAGACACCGCGTCAACCTGTCTGCTGTCTCCTCCTGAAAATCATCCTCCTTTCCGCAAAAGTAGAAAGAGCATCCATCCAAGACGTGATAATCCCATTCTTTTGCTGAAAAATTCTAGCGTAGACCCTCACCCATGGTATAGTACAAATGGTTTTTACAGAGAAATTTCCACCCAACGCCGTCCGCTATGCATGAGAAACAATCGTCGAAAGAGAGGATCCGAGGGACGAGGTTTGAAGTCATGTAGGCCTAGCTGGCCATCCGGTCTCGTTACCGTCCTTTAAAGACGGTCAGCCGCAAGGGAGATCAGTCTTTATAGATCTTGGGTCTCCAACCTTCTTTGATTTCTTTTTCTAACCGAGCCTTGTGCTCGGCGGCACGGGCTTCCATCTCTATCCGTTCTCTGGCACGAAGAATCTTGCTTTGGAGGTAGAAGGATCCACCCCCGCCTTTCTTAGGCTCGTTGAGATCGTACAGCTTTTTGAACCTCTCCATGACCTGTTCCATGTTGGTGGCGCCGCCTTGAGGAGGCTTCACGTTGAGAATCTTGCAGGCTTCGTCGAGGGTCATCCCAGAAGCGGCGGCGGTGTTGGCCGCGCCTGGGTCGCTTTTCGCAGCAGCCCTTGCATATTGTGTCGATGCTTGAGCTTGTTTGTATGCCTCAGCGAACGCTCTGCCAAAGACACGCCCTCCGGTTAGGACGATCTGGGCGATGATTCGATGCGCCTGGTATGGTCAGTCCGGTCCTGCAGGGAACAACTGACTGGGGACATCTAGAACCAGGGGATACATACCATTGATTCTTGTCGGAAAGTAACAAGATCAAATGGGTTAATGATCGCGATGTGGGCGATGGCGGAGTGTTCATTTGTTCTTCAAGACAGAAGCTGCAGGAAATCTTTTTGCTTGTCGCAGTCTGCGGCCGGCGAATCTTCGCCTAAATTTCCACGCAATTCTCTCACGAGTCACGTGCCTGGTTCTCTTGTGTCCTGCCACCTGCATCGATGCGGTCACCAAACAAGTCATTGATCGTCACGGCTCTGCCTGCGCAGTGCACATGCCTACGCCGCGGTCAAGGTTGTCCACAAGACCACATCTCACATCCGCCGAGCCATCAAATATCTTCCTTTGTCAAATATGTCGCTATCATCTCTTATAATACCTCTGAATAACAGACCTCTACAAAGCAATCAGGCGATCCTGGACTGAGTCTTTCCGTCTCCGCACCAGTAGCGTCATCTGTTTAGGTATCCTTTTGGGCGTCATCCTCATGACCCGGCATTACTCGGTGTATGGCAGCTTTTGGTATGTCCTGATCCCCTATCCGGACTTTCTATTTCAGCTATGCTGATGACTGCTCAGAAACTCCTTGGATCACATCGATGTCAAGACCGTCCTCATATGCACCTGCGTCAGATTCCTCCTCCCAGCAGGCCTGGGACCCTAATCCCCCCACATATGCTGCCTTCTCTCCAACATCCACCTCTGGCTACTCCGCCACATCGAAGCAGCGGTCTACAATCATAGTTCACAAAAAGTCGCCTTTACTAGTAGCGACACCACCTCAGATCACCCGAGCCCTAGCCCATTCACATCCCTTCTTGCTGCCGTTGAACAAACTCGCCGGTCTTCTGTCATGGAGCACTCGAGACCCATGGGAGTCATATCTGATGGTGGCCGTCTTTTGGGGAATCACACTATATGGAAGTGAAATAATTCGCTTTGCCAGCCCGATCATTGTAGTAGTTGGTCTCATACTGGGAATGTACTCCAGACGCTATTCGCCTCTGTCGTCCACCTCCAAAACCGGAGAGAAACACACAGCAAAGGGCCACAAAAGGCAACCTTCAGAGTCTCAATCGCACCATAAGACCCTCGATGAAATTGTCGAGACCTTGCAGGAACTGACTGCTCGGTGCAATGTCTTATTGGATCCCTTTCTCAACCTGACCGATTTTCTTTCTACCCAAACCACACCAACCGCCGCTACAACCCGGCCAGCTTTGACGACCCTCTTCATCCGTGTTCTTTTAGTAACTCCTTTTTGGGTTATTCTGACCCTTCCGCCTTTCTATATTCTGACTCCTCGAAGAGTCATTCTCGCTGTTGGCACAATAATATTGACCTGGCATTCCAAGCCGGCTCGGGTGTCTCGGGTTATTCTCTGGCGTTCTGTCTTTATGCGCAAAGCGGCCGCGTTTGTCACTGGGTTGGAATTTGATACTTCGCCCAATGCACAATCTGGGCCATCAAATCGACCATCAATCAGGACGAGATCGAAATCCCAAGGCGACCTCGCCTCAGAAGCTGCGATCAAGGGGAAACCGGATTCTTCTGGCGTTCGTTTCACGTTTATATTATATGAGAATCAACGGCGGTGGTTGGGTCTGGGTTGGACGACTTCTTTGTTCGCATATGAGCGCGCGCCTTGGACGGATGAACACCTGAATCCTGCACCATCAAAGGAAGAGTTCGAACTCCCAGATGTGGAGGGTGGTATGTCCCGATGGAGATGGATCGATCCCGAATGGCGAATAGAGCATGGAGACGCCAAGTCACACAAGAGGGCAATAAGCGACAGCAAAATAGGAGGCGGTGGTATGTCCGGTAAAGCGACTGCCGACGACGGCGGAGGCTGGATATATTATGACAATCGATGGGAGGATGGGAGGAGAGAAGACGGATGGGGTAGATATACGAGGAGACGCAAGTGGTTCCGTGATGCGGAACTTGTTGAAGCGACACCGAGCATTGAGGACACTCCAAGCGGCACTCCAGCACAATCCTCGTCTGACACGGAAGAGGACAAGGTGAGAAAGGCGAAAGACTTCGCCAAAGGGGTGGGCGGATCAGACGACACGGTTACCGCAGACTCAAGAACTCCCACGGAGAAGTCATCTGGAACAGATCAAAAGTCCAACGACGCCAACAGCACTGCCAAAGCATCTGTGGTGAAGAAACCGGGGAGCTGGTTCTCAAAAAGAGACCGCAGTGACAGCAAGAGCTCGAGTGGGAAGAATACAGGCCAGCTCAGCACACGGAGCGATCGGAGTCGCGATGGTCCAGAAGATGATATGCTGGATAAGTGGCGAGATGCTCCAGGACACCGAGCATTCAGTGTTCAGGAGGATGTTGCTATGAGCCTTGGATAGGGATTATCTTGGTGGTATGAGCCTCGGAGGATATGTTGTAACTAGTAGTACACCAGGATTGACCGCTCAGCACTTTTAGTATTTCCCGTGATATGCGAGTGATTCGATATGTAAGTCCTGGTTTTGCGCTTGCTTCCTGTTGCCGTGGTGCCAGTATCGACACCAATCACCCACCAGTGACTCAGTTACTCGCGACGTCATATCTACCAGGATCACACCCTCTCCTCCGCTTGTCCTCATTCCTTTCATTCGTTCTTGCCTGAGCACCGTGAGCTTTTGACCACTCACCCACTCCTCGCCATGATGATCAAGGATCTGTCTGATCCCTCGTGGCTCCCTGCCTTGACCCGTCAGTGCTGGAACCCATGGCAATCCCAGAAAAACCCATCCCCACATCTCCATCCTCCCCCTCCCCCCTTTTGCTACCAAGTAGAGGGAGGGATCGAGACTGACGTCAAGCACTTGGTTCTTTGTTGCACAGAACGAGTAAAGTTGCTTGTGGGTTATGACGAGTATCTCTTGAAGCCACGAAGGGGGGAGGGGAGGGGGGGCTAAAGTCGTATATATTATACAATATAACATGAGGTACTTTGTTCATTCGTCCCAGATATACTTCTCAGCGTTTACCACTCTTTCCCTATCACCACCACAACAAGAAACCACTTCTCTAAAGCAAAAGAAGACTCTTGTTTGGATTAATATCCCCATCATGTCGGAACAGCAACAGAAGAAGGAGCAACAAGGCCGTAGGTTCAAGTTTCCTCCCCAATTGGATCCTCATTTCCCTTCATCCTCGTTATGTCCTGTCCTATCCTTCTCTCTATTCTCAACAAAAACAGGAGACGACGTTGAGAAACCTACCTGACTGAGTGACTGACTAACACACCTTGGCCCTAAAGTAGGAGGCATCCTCGGCGGCTTGACCGACACGGTCGGCAACACAGTCGGTGGCGTCACGGTACGTTGGGCGGCGTCTTTTCACTCCTTTCCACCATTCCCCCCTATATATTTTGCACAGTCTGGGCTAACATGTCGAAAATTTTCGCGTGGCTCGTTTAGGATACGGTGGGCAACACCGTCTCCGGCGTCGGACAGGGTGTGGGCAAGACCGTGGGTGGTGCTAGTCAAGGCGTATGTACCTACTTCCCTTATTCCCTCCCTCTTCTTACTCTCCCCCCCTCCCCCCCCGATCTTCCTCTTCCCGTGACATCCTCTGCGAGAGTGGCTCGAGAACGGGTCTCGAGAAATTCATGCATCGACTGACATTCTGTCGGCCCTTGCTCTGTGTATATAGCTCGGCGACACGACCAAGGCTGTGGGCAACACGGCCAAATCCACTACCGATTCGATTGGAGGCAAGAAACAAACGGCAGACAATCCGCTGGGCTTGTAATCGGTATGTCTTAGGGAAAACGCAGCTTCTGGGTTTTTGCAAAGGGAAAAAGCCATGATCCGAGAATTTGCTTTGAGCCCCAGTTGCCTGGGTTTGATCCAATCTTCGTATTTGGCACTGGATATGCTAGAGAACTTGGACAGTTCATCAACTTCCTTGATATCTCACTTAGGGAGAAACGAGTGACAAGTCTTCAAAAGTTCAAAAAACCCGTACAAGCGCTCCAACCTGCTTGACCATTCCCAATATCCAACTCCAGTATGCGCGCAGTCAGAGCGCGTGCATGCAACCCATATATTCACACTATAAATGTCAACGTATCATGAAAGTCGTGCTATGTTGTACCTGACGATCACAAATCAGGTATGTATTCTTCGTAACCATCTAGACAGATTAGTCCAAAAAACACCCGTCTTCTGCATTTCCTTCCCTTCCTTGAACCATCATCGGCTGTAGTGGTTTGAGTCGCCGTAGCACTAGTAACGCTCGTGGTGAGTGTTGGCGCTCGTGTGACGGTGCCTTCCGTTGTTGTCGAGGCGTCAATGGCAGTGCTTGTGACATGGTGATGGTGGGACTTGGATGAATCATGACAACCCCAGAAATAACCGGGTGTCTTGCATGTGTGCTTCTTATGTGGTTTGGCGGTTCTTGTGGCACTCGGATTCGATAATGTCGAAGATGGAGATGGCTTATGTGTAGTCGACGTAGTATCACGACATCCCCACCAACCTGGGTGCTCGCAGGTAGACGATGGGTCGTGCGTGGCAGAAGCAGGGACAGATGCGGTGGACGAGGTTGTTGTTGGCGCGAGCGTGGTTGTTGTTACCGTGACATTGACTTTCTCGTTGCACCCAAACCAGCCTGGTGTAACGCAACTTGTGGTCGTGTAGGTTGTGGTAACCACCGGTATCGATGTAGTCGTAGTCGCTGTTGTAGTCTCATCTAGACATCCCCACCAGCCTGGAGTTTTGCAGGTGCTCGTTCTTGTGTACGTCGTTGAGCTTGTGCTAGTTGTCCGGGTGGTCGTCGTCGAGTCCGAGCCATTGCTCTCAAAGAACTTCCAATTGAAGCAATCCACGCACTCATCGTCAGGTTCACAAGTGGGGACCGTCTGGTACATTTTGATCACATTGTCGATCACATTGTGGATCTTATGGTTTCCTATTCCCACACGCCAACCGTAGTCGCTCACAGTATCGTATACACATTGTTTGCCAGTATGGCACTGGGATTCCATGGCGTATCCACCCAACGTGCACGTTGCTGTGGCACCATTGCAGGTTCCCATAAAGACTGGATCCGCTGTGTTTCCGAAGTGATAGGCCCCGGTATATTTTGTGCGTGGTCTGTTGGGATTTGACGATGGGGGAGCCGGAAGGCCGAGGCGCTTTGCTGCAAGATCTTCGCCAGGCGCTTCAAATGTTACGGTTGGCAGACCAAATGTGAGACCAAGGAGGCTGGTTACTGCGCCACCAAGGGAGTGACCTGCAAGCCAGACGTTCGAATCTGGGTATAATTCCGTGACGTTGGTATACAAGTCGATTGCAGCTCGATAATACCGGTTCTCTTGTCTCAAGGCTTGGACTACACATGTCCGGTTACAAGTATACGTGCCGGTCTGGCAGTCGCAGACTTGATGCCAGAAGTATGAGCCACCTTGAGCACAACAGCAAGAGAAAAAGAGGTTGTCGTTTAGCTTGTCCTTGGTGGTAGTCCCATCTCCATCAAAGACGGCAGGAGAAGTCCCCTTGAGACTAATGATGACTGTTTCGTTGCCTTCGTTGGCAAATATATGTCCCCTTAAACCGTCGCCTTCCCATCCAAATGGTGTAGATCGGTTATAGCCTTGGTTGACATCTTCCCAATCTCCTTCGCCAGGGCCTGGGTTATATGCGTTGGCTGCCATTATCGCCAGGTTGAGTACCGTGGGCTTGTGCTCGATATTGGGACCCACCACCTCGTCTAGCGTCCACTGCGAAGCGTCAAGCACAGCCGGACTGCCTGTGTATCGAGCATGTTGGAGATATCTCTCAATGCTCGGCGCTTGCCTGTCAACTAGTCGCTCAATCTCAACAGAGTCAGAACGCAGGGTGAAGTGTGGCGGCGGTTGGAGGGAAGACGTCTGGACATGGTCATCGTCTTGGGTGAGAAGGACGGGCGCCTGCGGGCTAAAATCGTAGCGTTTGTGCAGATTAGGATCTCGATAGGTGCCTCGATGGAAAATGTGTCTTAGTGTAAAGTCATGAGTGTCTGATTCTTTCGGTACTGGCACTGGATACCAGGGATCAATGGCAGCGGGGAGTTTGGCCACAACGACCGAGGGGGTTAAGGCGAGGAAGGATAACAGCATGCTCGCTGTGATTCTGCTGCCTGATGTGCAAATCCTATCTCTTTGTTTCCGAGTCTTCATATTGATGTGCTGATGGTACGTGACTGAATCAGGGTGCAGGGGAGATCGAAGTCGATGAAGATGGGATGTTTGAGTGACTGTTGACTGAAGTGGCTCGGGGTCTCGTGGCCAGTGGTGGCTCGGTGGATGGAGGCGAGGATGGGTCTGGAAGACACTGACGTCGAGCCCGACCGGGGAGGGCAACTAAACCACTTTCTATTATTTGGTACATTACCGAATCCACCAAACCTGTCAATCACATGCGTTGTTGGCTCTTGTTCAGCAGTCAACAGCGAAACGACGCACCACGAATCCTCTACGGATGAGCCGGCTCTGGGGTCATTTGCGACTCCTAGGCACCGGATTGTTTATAGTTTCTCTTTGGAGTAAAAGAATGCTCTTCTAAGATCTCCCGCGCCGGCTGCCCGAGACAGGCTGACAGCACAAATACAATACTGGTCTATTCACTATTTCCACACTCGAGATCATCACGTCTCAATCCTTCATCATGTCGAGGAATTTCTCAACGGGATCAACCAAGTCGAGACCCTCTGCTATTTCCACGAAATCCTTCACTCGTTACGAGCCTCCTGCTCCCTCGTCCCCCGCTGGTAGAAATAGAGCTAGCACCATCCAAGCCGTCACATCTCTGAAATCTCCCAAAAAGCAGGACTCTTCACCAGAGGACATATTTGAAAAGCCTATAAATGAAGAAGATGAACCTCCATCCCCGGACCTGGGGCGGGCCAACAGCCTTCCAGATCGCTTCGACGAGTTGCCCATAGAATTGGCAAGCCTGACCGACAGATTCATTGAGTCTCTCAGTGCTAAGATATACAACGAACCGCCGACGATCGACCAGTTGTCAGAACTATTTCAGGAATTCTATGCTCGAGCATCCGGCGCAATCTCCATTCACATTTCGGCCCTCAAGTCCCGCCTCCACCGAGACCAGTCGCCGACACCTTCCAAGCCCTCCTCACGCTCCAAGCCTCTGCAAAACAAGCCTTCGAGTGATTCTCTGGCGCCAGTGGACCAAAGAGGAGGCTCTCAGCAGATGTTGACGGCTTCCGAGGTCACAGAGAGACGCAAGCAGAGGAAACTGCTAGAGTACAAAAGGATTGTCCTGGAAGAGGCAGTGGAGAAAAGAGTATGCGAGAAGGTTTATGACAAAATATGGAGACACAAAAGTACTCTGGATGAGGTCAGAGACGAGAAGCTAAGATCAAAAACAGCAGCATTAGCATTGGTAGGGATAGGCCTGAAGGACCTGGGTATTGATTGGAGCGAAGACACTGAAACGTCGGCCGAAGATGTCCAAGCATCACTGGCTCCTGCGCGAGAGAGCCTGGCTAAGATGAACGATGAACACTATCCGCTGGGGAAATTGCAGCACCTCACAACCGCCCATAAAGCTGTGGTTGATACTCTTTACTCAATACACCCTTCCTCATCTTCGGCTGACGAGATCCTGCCAACCCTGATTTACACATTGATCACGTCACCAGTGGAAGGTATCAACATAATTAGCAACCTTTATTTCATACAGCGGTTCAGAGCAGCACCAAAAATCGATGGCGAGGCGGCCTATTGCCTCACAAATCTGGAGGCCGCGATTACTTTCCTAGAAGATGTCGACCTGGCGAGCCTGAGGGCAGACGAATTGCCAGAAGGCCCTAAGAAGATTCCATCCCAACTAGAAGGAGATGGGAGTTCGGATAAGCTTGAAGAGTTTCCCTTATTGCCTGAATCGGTCCCTGCTTCCGCGTCTCCTACCACAGCGACCTCTACTTCGAACGCTACGGGCACATCAATCAGATCGGGTCAAACTTCCTCGATCGTCAAAACGCTTTCCGAAAACTCCACGCCCACTCCTGCTACACGACATCAACGCACATTCTCTGACCTTCTTCAGCCCATAAGCAGTGCGAATGAAGCCGTTCGTTCCACGGCAGAAGAAGGCTTCAAGAATATTTCCAGTAGCCTGGACAATAGCTTCAAATTTCTCCTTGGGAAACTGAAGGAACGAGGCAGTGAAGGTCCCAACACTGAAGTCATCCTTCCCAAGACGCTGGACGAAGCGAGACAACTCGTCAATCGACCTTTGACTCCGGATGAAGACGATCATGCGTTGAGCGAGTCAAGCTCCGTGCATGACGGACAGTCTGGCTCCATTCCCCCTAACCTGACAAAGACTGAAGAGAAATTACTCGGCTTACTAGGAGGCCGAAAAGCAGCTGTACGGGAGCGAAGTGTGGACAGCACTCAGAGCAATGGAAGCGGTACCGGGAAACGAATGAGCTTTCTTTCAGGAACCACAAACTCGCCCCCTAATGATCCTGCTACAACAATAGCAGGCGGTCCTCCCCAAAAGCCCACAACACCAGCAACACAACCAGCGACCACCAATCCTCTTGAGACAGTAAAGAATTTCGGCAACAGTCTCAATCCAATGAGCCATATAGGCTCTGCATTTGGAGGCGCTTTTGGACGATTTGGTGGCAGAACAGCTACTGCATCGGCTTCTCCACCTGCCGCACAGACTCCTCCTACGCCGACGATAGTTGTGGCACAGGAGAACAAGGAAGACTCGACAGAGGAGAAAAATAAGCCAATCCGCGAAGCCGCCTTGCGATTGCCAGACAACGATGAATTGGTGACCATTAAGGCCGCACCACCTATCACAAGATTCATGAAGGTGGTGGATGCGAAAGAATTAAGGCTTGGTGAGGTGCAAGAACTCCTTGCAGATTACCGGCGACTTGCAAAGGTGCTGGGAAAGCTGGTGACGAAAGCTCAGGACGATGCTGAGACGGACACAGGCGAAGCAAGTGACACTGCTGAGGCTGGGCAGCAGTCCACCGCCAGCGAGAAGAGCAAAACCTGAGACGTATGTATAATGGTTGCAATATTTCTCTGTCCACAAGAATATCTAGAAGCCCGCCTGGGGCGAAGGACATTGTGAGCCAAATTTCCAGCAAATACGGGCCTTTTGGAGTGACTAGATCTGCGGAGTATCACAAGTCCGCCTATGTCACTTTGTTGGTGATGCATATCTGGATCCTCCCACCAAGATAGTGCAGTACTTCGCCGGACTGGCGTGGTTCGATTGAGCCATTTCGCGGTCTTCGCATATCGGCAAGTTGAGACCCTGGTGTCAGCCTTGTCACGAGAGCTGCACACCCATACGTCAACCACGAGACTCGAGCCTCAATACTTGAGAATTGGTTGCTTCAACGACCGAACAGCCCGTTGCGAACAGGGGGGTGTTCATGTTTACGGCATCAGGTGGTCGATAGATGGGGTGAACCCAGGCAGCAATGCCTCTGAGGGCTCGATGGCAACAGGAGCAGGTCGACTTAGACCAAGTGACAGTCGGTCCTTTGCGTATGCCTCGATGCTGGTCGGAGAAACCAGGCTTTGAATCAGGAGGAGAGAGACGGGGCAATGGCTCCGTGTGGCCACGACAGAGTCACAGCCAGCTACCGGATCCTTGATACCCGGACAGACTGAATAGATATAGACTGTCGGCGTGGAATTAGCACGATACTGAAACAACCCACCAGATTCAGATTCCACAGTCTACCACATATACTGTACGGAGTAGTCCTTCGTTGCTCTTTCTATGCCTCTTGGCTGTATGCCTCTTGCACTATACAAAAAGGAGTACGTATAAGAAGTATCACGACCGACATATACAGTTGTACCTAGGTATTAATTAGGTATGACGTATGAGATATTATGTATCTATGGATCTATGTATGCATCTATGTAAAGTCGTGAACTTTGAATTTTCGAGTCGTCGAGTCGTGCCGTTAGGTGTAGGTATGTTGGAAGGTAGGAAGGTAGGTAGCTAGGTAGGGTAGAGCAAACCCTGTCAAATTACTTTTCTTTCCTTCTCGTTTCCTTTTCCTTTCAATTCCTTTCTTTTCCTTTTTACTTCCGTCGTAACTTCGTGGTATTAATGCCTTTCTCCGTGGTCCAAGGATTGGTCTGAACGGGGACCAGCTCCCAGCTCTCGCTCAAATGTTCCGGCTTGGTTTGGTTGTACAGTTTTGATCTCCTTCGGTCTCCCTCACTCCCTCTGTTCCCGGGGAGAGGAGGTCTGAATCACTTTGCGGGCGATTTCCCCCTGATCAATTCTCCGCCGCCTTTTTTGAGGCCGGCCAATTCCTGGTCCACATCCCCGCGCTTCACCTCGACCTGCTTCTCCCTCTTCTTGACCTCGAGCTCGAACTTGAGGGCGATTTTCCGCCGCTCCAGCCGCACGGTCATCAGCCTCTGCACATCCGCCTTGAACTTCTCCACGAACCATTCCGCCGTCTGCTCGCGATCGGCGTCGGTGAGGGATTTGAACAGGTTGCGTTGGTCCTCAGGACGCATTTTGGTCAGATTCGTGAGTTTGGTGGATAAAGTCAGTGGGGTGCCGTTGGCGTCGAGGGCCGGTTCCGGCGCCGTCCATCGTGGGTCTTGTGTGAATGGGATGGCGTCCAGGTCCGCCATGGACTTGGTTTGGAGCACTTCCGGGTCAAAATCTAGGTCCAGCTCTGGGCGGTGACGCTTGGACGTAAGTCGTGGAGAGTCCGGTCCGGTTGCTGCTGGAAATTGCTCTTCGTCGGATGACGACTCATGAAGCGAGGACATCTTGGATGAGAAGGCGGGGGGGTGCACAAGTGACGCATGTGGTTGAGGCATCTGAATGGTCGGACGAAGATTGTCCGGCAAAACCATCTCTGGTTCTTTCTCGAGCGATTTGTAGACATTGAAGCGATTGATCTGTTGCCGACCGGATGGCTCGACCACGACAGGAGGGGCAATTTCGCTGAATGACTTTCTGTGCTTTGGCGAAGAGCGCCTCGTTGAATCTTCGTGCCTATAGCTCCTTTTCGCTTTCTCCTTGCCACGCTTTGATGTGGTCTTGACTTCAGACGCCATTCGAGTACGCGAGGGCGTGTTCTCCA